GAAATGATATCAATTAAAAGGTAATATCTACAAAAAAACTACTGAAGCATATAAACATGACATACCTTCGGGTATTTATAATAGTAAAATAAGTAAACCTAACGTATTATAAAAATGTAAATATTGGCAAACTCCATAAAAAGCAGTTTAAAACCGCATGTACGATGCAATATTTTTTTGAAAAACAAATTTTTGAAATATTAAAAACTGTACTATTTTCTAAAAATGGTATCTAAAATTATCAAACAGAATAAAATACGAAATAATTTTTTCTTGTTGTTCCTATTCTGGCTTCTTATTTTAGTTTTCTTCAATTAACAGATATGAAACAACTGGAGTAAAGAAAAACGTTTAGTGGTCATGTTATCATAAATAAATATAGTCGTAATGTGTTATCATCTATCTTCAGCATTATCAAATATGTTAATTAAAATTCATCGACCTCAAAAAACTGCGGTATTATAATATAATTAATATATATTAAAAATTATTGATGCTATAAAAATAGAGTAATATGTAACTAGGCACAAAGTTATTAGTTTCTTTATACACTACAATATTCTGATTTTACGTATACGTAAAATTTTATATATTGTTTTCCTTTGCGCTTTATGTAAAGGCAAATTATGTGTTATTTCAGTAAAAGTAAAAAAAAAAACATCATAACCATGTTATAGGTGTAAGAAAAAAAGAAATTTTGTAAAATCCAGTATGGTGCTAAATGGATATGTTTATTTTTAAGACTAATATGATTTTTTTTTTGTATTAGTTAATAATAAATATCTTGAATATATTTTAATCAAACAGTAGTGTCAGTACAATCGTACTAAAACAAAAAGTGAAATGATGACAAAGGGGGCCTATATATTACCCAGTATATTCAATATAATATTGATTATCTTTTGGATGTACGATTATAAATTTAATATAAGAGCCAGTAGTCACTTGACAGTCATTATCTCTATTTAATGTTCCATTACGACACTTTATAGTATCAGACTAAAGTCCAGCGCATTGAGACCACCAAAATTTTGTGCAAATGTAATGACATTTAAAGATTTAAGATTTGAAACATCTATTAATTATTGTAAACATCAAGTTATTGTTTTAACATAAAATTAGTACTTCTATAAAAAAGTAACCAGGAAAGTGAATATCTACACTAATCACAGCACTGATATTTTTACGAACTTACAAATATTTGTAAAAGTTAGTAACGATCAACCACATTCAAATCGGTAAATAAGAGGTAATAACTTCTCTAATGGAATGTAATCATTAAATAGATTAATATGTCACAAAGGTGAAGTATACAAATTACACAAAACGATTTTCTTTTAAAATTATTGGAAACCTGTAGAAAACTAATTTATTTATTTGGTCATCAGCATTGCGAGGGTAGAAGAATTTCACAACCAACATTCCTTTTCAAAGATTGTATTCTGTACTTTTCAACCAGAAAGATTAATGACTGTTGTACCAAAATAATTTTGTATCTAATTTTATTTATTAATTATTTATTTCATTTAACATTATTAAACAAGCTATAAGCCCAATTACGAAATGGGAATATACAAGAAAATCTATTAAAATAAGGGAACTTAAATATATGAAAAAAAAAAAAATTGACAGGATACATAATAATAGTAACAAAAAATTTAAAAATATATATACTTACATAATGCTTTTTATATACAATATTACAGAATTGTATAATATAATTCAATGCTTCTAATGTAGAAGATTGTGAAATCAAGTAAAGCTAATTACTTCATAAACATATTATACATATATGTTTTAATGCATTAAGACAAATCAGTTTTTATGCAATTCGTTTTAAAATGGATCACCAATATAGTATAAATTCCCCATATTAAAAATAGTCTCCTTATCATTATTCATCCATATTAAAATATAAGGTACATGCTGCAAGTGAGGTTGTGATAAACTTTCACACTAGATTACTTCTGTCATATAAACGAAAAACTAGTACATATAACTATTTCTCTAAATTGATTTCTAAAACTTCTACGGCGAATGTGAAATACAGACTCCAAAAATGATACACTGATGTTAGCTACTTAGGTATATTTATAAAGTGAACAAAAGCTAATAAGTGTCATCGAAATTGGATTTGAAGGTTTCAGCGTCCAAAGAAGGTTATCTGAGGTGGCAGAGATTTTTCATATGCTGCTTTGAGTAAGTTATTTTCAATGAGATTATTTGCGGGGGATTTTAGGAGCATAAAATACATAGAACTATATACTATATTCCATAACAAACTACATGTAACTGTTGAGAAATCTATAGTCATCTGTTAATGTGTGTGATACATCTAAAAAGTTACAACAACCGTCACGTTCGTTTTTAGTTAATTCAAGAGTTGATGACTGATGCAAAGGCTTTATCTGTAAAATAATACCTATTGATTTTATTTCCATTCAGATGTTATTAACGGAATAAATATATCCCTATATGCGACAGCTACATTTACATTGTTTACTAACCATTGAAATATCTCATCTTTACCTATATGCTAATGCAAACAAAGCCCGTTCGGTTTTTGTTTATTAATCGTATTTAACGACCATTGCAAAATTAATGGATTTGAAATAAATAGATACACAAAGAGGATTCATCATGATTACAACGAACAATTATTTATCAATTTAATTTTAATTAGAAAATTGAGCCTTTTATGACCACTAATTCGATGTAATTAATTACAGCCATTGGAGTTGATCACTATCTACTAATTTCACTATTTAAAGATATTTTAGTAAAGATGTACAAAGCGTTGTTTGGATTTATTTATTTGTGAAGTAGTTTAATTTATTTTGTATTTTTCCACGTTAAAGGAAAATAAATCAAATTTTTAGAAACGTTTACTTTAAAGGATCAGACAAAACAAATTTCTATTTGCCATGTCATGTGAAAAGCTTGGAGCTATCACATTTCACCCATGTTTCCAATCCACACCACGAAGTCGCCCATAAAGCTCGAGAAAGTTCCAAAAGTATCCAAGCAAGCGGTTCAATACATATCCGAGGACATCGAGCCTGTCGCGCTAGCTACCGAAACTGGTCAAGAATCAAGATTTTCACCAACTTTCTGAATTCAGCAACCCAATGAGCCCACAGAGCAGAAAACTATTTGAAATATACCGAGTCAAACGCACATTTCTAGGAACTCAGCCGAAATTCACAGCGACCACCATCCAACAGTACGGGTAGCTTGATCTTCCAGTCGAACTACCTCCAACAGCGCCCAAAATCATAAAATCTACAGCATGAATTGTAATGCCATCAAGCGATGTGATTGAACGTTGACTCTGATCACCTGCACATTATTATTAACCAAGACCAAGTGCTAAGATTTCAGTATCGGTGCATTTTATACATTTTATTGTATGTAATCAAAGGAGTATTAGGTACACACAAATAATACCAACAGTAGTAGACTCAATACAAATTATTATAAATTGTTATGAGGCATGGACATACTCCTCGATCGATAACCAGCGTCCAAATCGCCCAGATTTGACTACAGTCCTGTGTCCACTTCACAAGTGTTTGTTAGCCTAAAAGCAAAGGCAGTGAAAAGAAAAAAATGTCGAAAAGTGCTCAAATACGATGCAGTGCAAAAAGACTCAGTTTGAAGCCTAAATGAAAAGTGCAATCCAAAGGATGTCAAGTAATCAACCACAACAAAGCATATTCTACTCTCTAAATACCAAGTTCCAAGCTTTAGCTGAGAAAGCGGAAATGGAAGAAATTATCAAACTGAAGCAATACGAGATGAACAAAGGGTATCAGTATTTGAAAGCTAAGTTACGTCACCGTCCGTCCAAGAAACAAGGTAACATCAACACAATCCAGCGGACACTCATCATTTGCTAGCCAGGACTCTTGGACAAGGAACTGCATCACCTGCAATTAGTTCCTAGAGAAAATGGATATCCTAACAGAATATTGAACAAGATATCATACGGACACCTAAAAACAATATCTAAGCTCTCTAACCTTTTCAGGATAATCGGTACCGAATGGACCATCTTTCAGGGGTAGCTTCCTTGGTTGAAAGTAAAACAATCAACTTATCAAGATACAATTTTACTTCCTTAAAATGTTTTGAAAAAGATTCATATAAATTCACTTTTAAAAATATTTTAGGTCAATTTGACATGAAAGGTTTTTCGGGATAGCCGAATATAAAATATGAACTTATTTTTTCCTTAAAACATAGAGGTTGCTAAGATTTTCAGTTATATTTTTTTACAGATAAAGGTTTTGGGAACGCGCATATTATTTACTACTCCAGTCGGCAGAGGCCGAAAAGTTACTGTTGGTGACATTTTCTTGATAACTCGGAAATAACTACACAGGTCTACTTTAAATGATAAGTACAATAACAGGCTNTCTATACATATCCGAGGGCATCGAGCCTGTCGCGCTAGCTACCGAAACTGGTGAAGAATCAAGATTTTCACCAGCCTTTTAAATCCAGCAACCCAATGAGCCCACAGAGCAGAAAACTATTTGAAATATACCGAGTCAAACGCACATTTCTAGGAACTCAGCCGAAATTCACAGCGACCACCATCCAACAGTACGGATAGCATGATCTTCCAGTCGAACTACCTCCAACAGCGCCCAAAATCATAAAATCTACAGCAGAAATTGTAATGCCATCAAGCGATGTGATTGAACGTTGACTCTGATCAACTGCACATTATTTATTGCATGTAATCAAAGGAGTATTAGGTACACACAAGTAATACCAACAGTACTAGACTCAATACAAATTATTATAAATTGCTACGAGGCTTGGACATACTCCTCGATCGTATATAACCAGCGTCCAAATCGCCCAGATTTGACTACAGTCCTGTGTACACCTCACAAGTGTTTGTTAGCCTAAAAGCAAAGGCAGTGAAAAGAGAAAAATGTCAAAAAGTGCTCAAATACGAAGCAGTACAAAAAACTCGGTTTAAAGACTAAATGAAAAGTGCAATGCAAAGGATAGCAAGTAATCAACCACAACAGAGCATATTCTACTCTCTAAACATCAAGTTCCAAGCTTTAGCTGAGAAAGCGGAAATGGAAGAAATTATCAAACTGAAGCAATACGAGATGAACAAAGGGTATCAGTATTTGAAAGCTAAGTTACGTCGCCGTCCGTCCAAGAAACAAGGTAACATCAACACAATCCAGCGGACAATCATCATTTGCTAGCCAGGACACTTGGACAAGGAACTGCATCACCTGCAATTAGTTCCTAGAGAAAATGGATATCCTAACAGAATATTGAACAAGATATCATACGGACACCTAAAAACAATATCTAAGCTCTCTAACCTTTTCAGGGGTAGCTTCCTTGGTTGAAACTAAAACAATCAACTTATCAAGATACAATTTTACTTCCTTAAAATGTTTTGAAAAAGATTCATATAAATTCACTTTTAAAAATATTTTAGGTCAATTTGACATGAAAGGTTTTTCGGGATAGCCGAATATAAAATATGAACTTATTTTTTCCTTAAAACATAGAGGTTGCTAAGATTTTCAGTTATATTTTTTTACAGATAAAGGTTTTGGGAACGCGCATATTATTTACTACTCCAGTCGGCAGAGGCCGAAAAGTTACTGTTGGTGACATTTTCTTGATAACTCGGAAATAACTACACAGGTCTACTTTAAATGATAAGTACAATAACAGGCTGATTTGCTGACAAAATATTTTATCAGGAAAAAAGTAATTAACAATTTAATCGTGAAAAAATTTTTTTTAGTAGTTTTCTTTAAATAACTCAGCGGGATGACTTTGTACGAAAAAATGCATAGAACATGATTTTATTCGTAATAAAAATAGCTACAAAATGGCGGTGGTCCGATTACGAAATTTGCAATAACAAAGCCGTGAGATTGAAAAAACGGTATAAAACGCCAATTTTTTTAAGTTGCTGTAAAAATGTCAATTATAAACAAAAAGTGATAAAACTTTCGAAAACTATAGTTCAATATATATACAATAATGACGCTAAAGCCGAAAATCAGGAGAGCAAAACTTTTTGTTCTATAAGGTGTTATACATTCATCGGCATCTGAAACTCGAAACTTTGCCAAATTTGTTCGAAGCTTTGCTGACACTTGAAATTTGGTACACACATAGTGTAAATATGCAGAAACCAAAAGCAATTTGCAAAATTCAAGTATCTTCATTTTTGCAGTTTTGGTAAGGTTTTATACGTCACCCTAGTTTTATACGTCACCGTTTTTTTAATTTTTGGACGTATATTTATGTATATTTATAAAATATTCCATTACGGTAGATTAGCCAGCATAATTACCTACAATTTAAAAAAATATATATTTTCATCGTTTAGATCCTAAGCTACTTAACATTTTGCGCCTGTTAGCCGTACTCGTACATTATTCAACATATTAACATAAAACAAAATCGTACGTGTGGGGTAAACCTTTAACTTTAAGTAAACAATTGTTTAAATTTACTGTTGTATATTTCTAATAGTATACAAGCCCCGAAGAGCGGAGCTCGCGCTCGAAAATGAAACGTTAAAGGTTTACCCCCACACGGGCTTAAGGAATTAAGGAAACAATAATAATAACTTATTCTGGAGCCAAAATGGATAAGCCAAGAAAAAAAAATGGATTTAAATTTTTTACTGCAATCATTTTGTAGGCAGCTGTCTGTTTGGGAGATCTAATGCAATTAAACAGCAACCAAATTAGATACTTTTTACGAATTACACCCCTTCAGCTCTATTCAAAAGTCAGTATTTACTGAGATACAGGCTTTTGAAGTACCGCAAAGTTTATATCCAAGCCGGTAGGTTACTGACTTTTGAATTTAATAAATTCTAAAGAAAATATTTAATTTACTTGCAAATTCTACAGACAGTCGAAGCTTAATTAAAGGAAAATATTCCCAAATACTTGTCTGTCAATAACTGCAAATCCATTTTTCTCTTTTAAGTAAATAAAGAGACGTCTCAAAAAACATTTGAATTTCTTTGCAATATATGTCAGAATATTAAACATTTTTTTTTTTTTCAAAACCCATATCTTTTTAAGGAAACAATAGGTGTACCTACTAAGATAACGTAAAGTAATTCAGTTTATTTTCACCCAAGGAAGCTAATCATTCGCTTTCGGACATCCTGAATACATGTCCATAAAATGGTGGGTAATCTCGCAAAAATAATGTCGCAAGTTTATGTAAAAAAATATTCGGACCGGCATTGTAGTTATTAGCTCTGGAAATTAAGAATTAAAATTCGATTTTTCGTTATGATTTGTTTATTTTTATTTAAATTTGGATAATTTTTGGGTAGCAGCTATATTACTCGAAGCTGTTTCCAGGAATGTATTCAATTTATTGAGAGTCTGGCGGCATGCTCAGCAACGTAATATTTTTAAAGGGCGTCCAAAAGTAACCCAGGATTTGAATTTTGTACCATTTTCATTCCGAAGAGTTGACAGCATTGAGCAGGGTCACATGTTGTAGTAAACACTTTGCGGTCAGACAAAATAGATACGACGGATGAGCGAGTGAAGATTCTGAAAATTCATTACAAGTACAGAGAGTGTGTAGCTGAGACTCTACGCAAATTAATTGGAATTTCGGAATTTTCGGTAGAAGGAACGTTCCGATTGTACTACGGTGAGTTAGTGTAGCGGTACCTCTCCTAACCTCAGTGCCCCAAAGGATGAAGATGTGGACCTTTTGTTAAAATCCGCTACTTTGTGGTTTTTCAAATGTTTAATTGCAGTGACCGACGGTGCACTGAGGTTGCGGGAATTTCCGCCACACTTCCCTCACCGTAGCAATATTTTCGACTAAAAGGCCAGTACAAGGCCGGTCTGTTTTTTTTTTGTTGTTTGCAACCGAACCTGTTTTACTCAAATTTGGCAACTAATCTTTTCACAGTTGTTTCCTTTAAGGCGTTCCTTCTACCGAAAATTTCAATATCATGGACTATAAGTTGACCTGATATTCTTGGGCATCCTTCTATAGGTCAGTCGTAAGTAAACTACAAAAACATTTAGCTGACTCGTTAATTACAAGCTCTGATATCAGTCATGTGATATGCGCAGAGTATTAAATATAAATGAAACATAAACCCCAAGATAAATAGAATATTTACGTAGCTTCCAACATATGAATTAAGCGTAAAACAGCCCTCCTGCGAGCGGTTCAGCAGCAGGTATATAAAATTAACAAAATCCGAATGCCAAAACTGAATGAAAAATTAACCCGTGTTGTTCCAGTTTAAAATTAACTTTCCTCATTTATTACGGGCTGCCAAATGTACCTTTTGTGGATTTAATATTTATGGCGATGGCTCTAATAATGCATGTACGATTTTAATTGACTTTTGGAAGTTTTTCGTTCGTGTATTGAATAAAACAGTTTTGTCAATTTGATGTGGAATAATTTTTTTCAGCACTGGTAGGGAATCTCGGTTTCTAAGAAAATAAATAAATCTTTATATCCTTCGTGAGATGCAGCAGCAAAGATGACAATAGTATTTTATATTATAGAGGGTGATTCACAACTTATCCAAAAAAATTTGGGAATAGATGCGGCATGAGAAATGGAGTCAATATTGTAGAAAAAAAAATTGTAAAATCCTTATAGTTTCCGAGAAAAAAATTATTGAAGTTGTAGTGCTTTCAACCATTACATAGCTGGACAACTGTAGTCTCTAACGTCATTCGTAATTCGAGAGCCACGTGGCCTCAGCGACTCAGAATACTGAAATCCGATGTTTACAATAGGTAGTTTTTTAGTAATCAGTGTCAAAAATGGTTTGCGTGTATAACAACTCGGAGTTGATGTATATCGTTTTAGTTTATGGTGAAGTAAGAAAACATTTGTATTATGGTCAAGCATTTGTGTTATGGTGAAACAAGACAGCATTTGTTTTAGTTCGTAGAAACTGAGTAAGACGGGCCCAAATGTATTTACACATCGGTGGACAAAATTTTGAACAGTTGTTGTAACATCAGGTATGTCAAATTATTTTATTATTTAAAACCACAAATGAATTTTATTAATTAATAGTAACAATAGCGACAAAATTAGTTGAGTTTGTAAAATAGGTATAAAATAGGTGCTATACAATTCTATTTGTTCTTTTCCTTGCGATAATTCTTTCAAGTTTTTGAACGTTTTTATCACTGCCGCCATGACGGTCGCATTGTGTCAGGTCAGGTTTTACAGTGGACTAGTTTCCAGTGCCGTGCAGAAGTGTATTTTTAAATTATTTTGGAACTGCCCTTTTTGATTTTTTCTTTACAAAATTGTATTTGCAGTCCCCTGTACATCCAGATTTTTTTTTTAGGATAAGTTCTGAATCACCCTGTATACGGTATAGGTATTGCAGATATTCAATACGTTTAAAACATTGATATTTGTTTCAACTTTGCTTATGCTAAATACGTTTAATTAAACAATAAACTACAAATAACAAGGAAACTAAACCGCAAATTGGTAAATAGAATTTTACTACAGGAGCTATTACTGTTTTAATAACTTTTATGCCATTTTGTATGGAGTAAGTGTACGCAGTGCATCCATTACAAAATTATAAATAATTTTAGTATAGTATTTCCGAAGTCAGTTTCATAGGCGTCCCTAAAAAAGTTTTCTGCTAAAGATAAAAAATTATAATAATTTGTATATAACGTGTAGAAAATTTCTATTATGTTCCTTTGACCAACAACATATTTTGATTATTTATGTCCATGAAAAAAATTCTTATTATTAATTTATTTATTTAGTTAGTTTATTTTGCTTATATGACACCACATGAATGTATAGCAATGGTCAATATGATGGACAATAGTGGCCCACACAAAAATACAAACATAAATGTATACACACAGTATACAATATACACACTTAATTTACATATACACACAGATATACAAAAAATGCTAACATAACAAAATAAATTGTACTACAATTGATAAAATTCAGAAACAGAATGAAAACATTTCTTTATTACAAATTTTTTTAGTGTATATTTAAAGATATTCAAGTTATTAAAGCGCTTAATGTTATCGGGCAAGTTATTAAAAATCGTTAAACCAATATGATCAGGTGATTTCGATATAGCATCATATTTTGTGTAGGGCAGATGGAATCGATCCTTTTTTCTCGTATTT